TACATGACATCACCCGTTTATGCCTTAACCAATGAAATTTGTGTGTTAGCATGACGTCATATTGACCTGACAGATCACTCGTATAAGCTCCGCCCACTAGAGAGTGGTAGTTCCTACCGCAGATGCCCCTTTCAGCGCTAAGGGCTATTCTGGGCGAGCAGCCAAGGCTATTGCTTTGACACATCTTCCTCAACCAGGGGGTTTTATGATGACAAATGGAGATCATTTGAAACCTTTCGTAAGGCAAAGAATGAAGATCCAACAACAGCGTTATCTCAATTCTTAGCCAAGACATCCTACACTTGTGTACAATTACAACGTATTTGGTAGCGCTTGATTCTGTGTTTGCCATTCCGGAGAATCGCAAAATTACTACGGTCCTGGAACTACCAGCAGTCCTATGCTCTTTTAGGCTTGAGGATCAGAAGGCCAATTCTGTCCCCCTGCTTGGGACATCAAGGATTGAGCTGGCCCCACTTAAAGCCCCTAAAAGCATCATCCTTTTTTGGACCTCACCACAAAAACAATATTTCTCATGGCTGTAGCCACTGCATCATGGGTGAGTGAGTTGCATGCAGTTGACAACACATGTGTCTGCTTTGACCTTGGTACGCAGGGAGCAGGCAACCAGGCCAATCCAACTGGTCCTTCACCATTCCACCAATTTCTACGATTGTAGGGGTCGAAGATATTAGGGTGAATTCCTCTTGTGCCCTGTACGGGCACCACAAGTATTCATCTGCTGCTCCAAAACTAGGCGTGGCACGAGGAAAAGGTTGTTCATTCCCTTATACTGTCTTTCCACAACCATATCACAATGGTTACGCGCAGTCATCCTGTAGGCTTACGAAATCGCTAACCTTGATCCTCCAAGAGCGAATAATCCTCACGAGATCATTGCAGTCAGTTCACCATAGCTCTACATAGCAACTGTTCTATTGGAGCAATTATGGAAGGATGTTCTTGGAGGTCTGACACTGTCTTGGCCAGCCATTATCTTCATGATGTGGCGTCAAGGCATTTGTAGCTTTGGCCTTCTGGTTGTAGCCCAGCAGGTAACTAACCCCAGACGCAAATGATGAACTGTTCCAGTCCGTAGCCAGTCTAACCCTTTCAAGCTTGTCAAAATAGTATATAATTTATAACCTACCTGTCATATCATTCATTTATTAAATCTATCACATTTCACAATGTCTGAAATATGTATTCCATTTCAATTTATCATTTTTTATTAAGAAATTATTCACTATTTCCCGCAATGTTATTAAAAATAAAATTCTTGGACACACACACTTAGACAACAGGTCCTGATCAAACATGTCAATGAGCAAAATAAAGGCATTTCAGGCAAATCTTTAAATATAGTATAGATCTACAAAGTAATAAATAAAATCAACAAAAATATGTCTAAAAGTTGTCAAACTTACAAAGTAATTATTTACATCTTTTCTTGGGATCGCGTGTAATGTAAATCAAATGACATCTTGGCTTTCGTCGCCTCGAAATCTCGGCTCTTTCTGTCTTGAAGATATCATATATTAGTCATGTGTTTTCCCAAAGTGGAAGCGAAGTCATAAAACTGTAAGTTCATATAACTTCATTATAACAATCTTTGAGGAATGGAACTTTCTGTTTTCAAGTTCAGTGCATATGAAATTTAATTCCCGAACCCAAAGTATATACTAATTTTCCTCTCTAGTTAGTTAGTAAAGCTGTATTACTTGGAACTTTTAAATGCAATATATTGCCACTGCCATTTTTATGAGTTATGTAACTTGAAGAAGTAAACATTGTTGGCTGTAGTGATGTGTGAACAGTAATGACACTTAGGTCTGCCATTACTGTAGACAATAACTATGTTGGCAAACATGATGTTAGCCACTGGCGCTTCTATTGTGGCTCTTTGGGAATGACAGCACTACATATATATTTCCTGATACCATGTATAGCAGCAGTACCATATGCAAGTTCTGACGAAAAGATTCAATTTCATGGCACCAATGTAAAGATTTACCTGACACTAAGAAATGTGTTATGATGACGATAAATATGAGACGGACGTTCATAAACCATAGACTCGTGCCGTGGGAGCGGTTAAAGAATATATACAAAACAAAAACTTGAATCCTGCAGGTGTGGCCCAATCGACTGACCAACCAATGGAATTTATGCCCGGGTAAAAATATTTGCATAAAGCGAAATCCAACCTGTCGATAAAAGACAAGTACGTAAACCATCTGTCTAGTCATTGAATAAGATCATGTTTTCTTCCCCATTTATTTTGATACTTGATGTTATCCCCTGCCACGAAGTGGGAAGGGGGATATAGGAATGAGTGCTGTCCGTCCGTCCGTCAGTCACATTTCGTTTCCGGAGCAGATCTTGAAAACTACCATATTTTTTCACCAAACATGGCACATAGATAGATCTAGTAGTGAACTGGTGCCTTTTGATAGTTTGGGATTTTAAAAAAAATAAATTTTCGAGGTTTTCATGGCAACGACTTTGATTTAGACTGAAAATGGTGGTACCGGGGTAGTCCTCGTTTCCGGAGCAGATCTTGAAAACCGTACCATATTTCTTCACCAAACATGGCACATAGATAGATCTAGTGGTGAACTGGTGCCTTTTGATAGTTTGGGATTTTTAAAAAAAATTTTTTCGAGTTTCCATGGCAACGACTTTGATTTAGACTGAAAATGGCATTAGTCCTCGTTTCCGGAGCAGATCTTGAAAACCGTACAATATTTCTTCACCAAACTTGGCACATAGATAGATCTAGGGGTGAACTGGTGCCTTTTGATAGTTTGGGATTTAAATAAAAATTATTTTTTGACTTTCCATGGCAACAACTTTGATTTAGACTGAAAATGGCGGTAGTCCTCGTTTCCGGAGCAGATCTTGAAAACCGTACCATTTTTCTTCACCATATTTTGCACATTGATAGGTCTAGTGGTGAACTTGTGCCTTTTGATAGTTTGGGATTTCTTTTTAAAGTTATTTTTCTAGTTTCCATGGCAACGAGTTTGATTTAGACTGAAAATGGCGGTAGTCCTCGTTTCCGGAGCAGATCTTGAAAAACGTACTATATTTCTTTACAAAAAGGCCCAGTGATCAGGAGCTAATGCATTGCACACACCCGACATGTCATATTGGCGGGGGATGTGAGTATTTCATGCTTGTTATTCTTGCAATTGCTATAGTGTAAATTATAGCTTTTGCAACATATTGTTGACATAACACGCGCAGTGAACTTGCTATAAATAAATACCCGCCTGAAACACATGGTGACTGCTGATGTAACCCATAATTATTACTGATCGTGCTAACTAATAATGGAGCTGTCAGACTAATGATGACATCTGAACATGATTACAGAATGAACGTATATATTTGTTGGGACTACATATTTCATAAAGCAAAGAAACAAGATAACAGGCATACTGATTTCTTCCGTTGACTTTTATTTCTGACATCCTGAAATAAACAATCAAAACGATATGCCTTTACTGTTCCATGACGTGGATGAAATAGCTAATCAGCTGCTAATTGATATAGGAAATGCCCACACACACACATAATGTGAACTCTCAACATCTACTGAATCGTAGACCATTCATTGTGTGCTATAATGGATAGATAAACCACTAAACTCATGAAGTTCACGTAATAATTTTCAAACTAACAATCCTGATTGTGCAACACGTCAGTTTAAAATGGCACACATTCAAGTACACACACGTTGTCTTCTCATGTATCTGCATTCAGCTGCTAAACGCACAGGCCGCGGCCACCTAAACAAGTCTCCTGGTGGTAATGAAGACCGGGAATCAGCTAAGCGCTAATGGTGAAGTGACACCAATACACGGATATTCAGTCCTTTTACACACGCTTCAGTGACATTGCCCAGGCACGCAAAAAACCGGGGCCTGTGGTAGGAATTGAAAATCCACATCCCAAAGAGGCCACCCTGACTGATGTAGACAGTGTGTACTAGAAATACTAATGTTCTGAGATTTGCTGTACCATGTACATAATTTATTTCATTATTGATAAAACACAAGGAAACACATTTATTTACTAATTTTCTCAATATATCAAACCATTCAGCAGGCTTTGTAGTTAGAAACATAAGACTTTCTGTTTTAAAGTTGCATTACTCATGTGAAGTAAAACTGAAAGTGCATGTAACGTTCACCTTCACTCTTTCATTGTTGTCGATTGAAAGTCAAGGTCATTTGAATAGTAATTTGTGAGGTAGTTCTGCTTCTTTGTGTACTTAGCCAACCTTTTGTGTTGGAATTAGATGTTTGTAAGAGCAATTACCCAAGAATTCAACTAGAAAAGAGCAAATACCCAAGAATTCAACTAGAAATAATCAATCACGTGATTAAATTGAATGTCAAAGTCATAAAACTGGAAGTACAAATAACTTTCTTAATAAGGTGGCTAGAGGTATTGACATGTTTTCCCAAATCAGAAGTGATACAACTAAACTGGAAGTGCAGATGACTTTGTTAAGGTTGCTGTTGGCATAGGATTTAGTTTCAAAATTCAGTACACCGTGTTACACAATGAAATGATAAGAGCTGCTGTATCGATACAAAACAATGCATATAAATTCAGTTCTTAGTTGGAAAATGTTTATTTCTCACCTTGGTCTTCTCATCTTCCTTTAGATGTAGCAAATCAACGTAATGTCAGTTAATTACATTTTTGTTGCACAAATACATCTTGAAATAACTTTCTAGCATGAGCTCGTTGACATTTGTATCACATTGTGAACATATGACTGGGATACATCTATCATGTATATCAAGACTTAGTGTATCATTACAGGCCAAACACTTACTTATGAAAAATATCAAACACTATGCACCACAAAATGATATCAATGTGTACAAATGTGTTTTAGTGTAGTGTCTTTTGTCTTTTGCTTCTAGCTTCACTGCAGGTTTGTGCGACTAAATAAATGAATGATTTCCTTTTTGTATCTGCAGGCAAATGCATGTCTCGACGACTTCGATCGAATAAAAACATTAGGAACAGGTTCCTTTGGTCGTGTCATGCTTGTACAACACAAAGCAACTAGAAACTACCTTGCCATGAAAATCCTTGATAAGCAAAAGGTATGTATGTGGTAAATGTTAGTTTGATTTCTTTCATGTGTACCTATGGGTGATTTAACTGCCAGGTTAAATGGAGTATTTTTCAATCTTGTATTAATATCACACCTGTCTGAAAATTAAGTGTATATCTCAGAAACATCTCAGAAACCACTGGACCAATGAAGATGAAATTTCACACAATTGTCTCCACCAATGGTGACACCCCAATGTTTTCAAGAGGCTCAAATCTGATGTTCATAATCGCCGCCAGTAAGCCATATTGAAAAAGCCAACTATTCTGCCCATACATTCCACAAAACATCTTCGATGCCATTGCCTCATTTATTACAAAATCAGAACATACAAAACGATTCTAGACCCGCCCGAAACCTAAATCCAACCACGAACTAACTACAACATCAAAAACCCAACATAGGATCGAGATCCAAATTCACCATCCAAACCGACCTCTCCGACGTCCGCGCCCCTAGGCCGAATCAACCATACTATTCAACTCCTTGTTCACTTAGCCAGCCACCAGCACCCCACGCTCACCAAGCCACGGCTCAACACATGACTAGCCAAGATCACCCCCAACCCCAACTCCACCCCCAAAATCAACAACTGTTTAACCCCTTTTTCTTTCTTTATTAGGGCCTGCATATATATTGCAGCTTAACTGAAACACTAACTACCACCAGTACCATATACCCACCTTAGCCTCACAGCCTAGGTTTACCCCCACCCAACCCCCACGTTACATTTTTTGGGGGTATTTGCTCAACAGGGCAACCCGATATTTCAATATGACTATATGAATTCATATTGAAAACTCTATTTATAGCCATTACACAGCCATTTTTTCTCAGAAGTGGAAGAAATCTGATATGTGTAGTTTCATGTGTTGATTGAAATTTTGCACGCCGATCCAAAGGTTTGGCAGACAAGTGATTTGAAATATGTGGCAAGCGAAATTTTGATCATGACTTGATCTGCCCTCTGTTAAAGTTTGTCAAAACGTGTACCCCTTTTCCCTTAAATAGCTGATGGTTTGACTCCCAATTGACAGATAGCTCACTTTGAATGTACCTGGTGAGTTATTTTTGAATAAAATAAAATAATTTATTCACTGCTATCATCTTTCACGATTGTGTATTTTCATTTGCAGGTTGTCAAATTAAAACAAGTGGAGCATACATTAAATGAGAAGAAAATATTGAATGCCATAGATTTTCCATTTCTTGTCAAATTAGAGTATTCGTTTAAGGTGAGTGTTTTTTATCATTTTAGAGTTAACATATTTTTCACTTATCCTGCACTACTACTTAATGCATTTACGTAAGCTTACATTACGACAAAAAGAGACAGCGCTGGTCCTGGGTGAAAAAAAAAAGCTTTCTCCATATCAAGTCCCGCTTTTTGTAGGACATTGCCAGTCAGGTGACCAGATGTGACGTCACATCACATCATATTACCGCTTGTCGCCAACCAGAAAGGATGTGTCTCACTTGGAGGGGGGACTCCAACGTTTGGTTTAGTTTGGTTGTAAGCTTCTGCTACCATACTAAATTATGTCTTCGGTGGGTGATGTATTCCTTTCATATTTTCCTCCAAATTTCAAATGTAATTTTTGTTCACCTTCTCCATTTATAGACAGGTCATTCACAAACATATTTTACAGCAACTACGGGCAGACCCGTAGTTGTGTGAGGAAGATGTCTCAGTTGCAGGACGCTACCAGCCTCCAGTCTCCAATTATTACCACCCTACCCTTACTGTCGGGTGGAGCGTTGTCCACTGTGATAGTGACTGCAGACATTCATTCACCTCCATGTTCTACAACTTCAGGCTCATCTGTGAGTATTGCACCTGTTTAAAATTTTCAGGCGTCCATGGCCTTCACTGTGACGATCCCAACTACACTACCGCATGTGTCTTATGGTGCTTCTATTGAGATGCACAAGCCACGATCCAGTCGACACCTACAGGCAGCTCATCAAAAGGGCTTGCACCGAGGGCTTGTTGCCTACGCCGTCATAGGTGCTTCTACAATGACTACAGCCTCAGGGCTTCAGCGTATCCTGCAATGTCATCAACTCTAGGTCAGCTTAGCACTGCATTGCCTACCTACCCAGTAGCGCAACAGGTGTATGCTCAGGCTTCAGCGCCGTACCAGGAGAAAAATTGGATGCAAAGTTGATGGCACAGATGTACAAGGCGCCTGCACCAACGTACCACCCTTCAGCATCAGCTGCTACGCTTACGCATCAGACAACTCAAGCGCTAGCTCCTACACCTGCATCTAACGTTTATCAGACGCCAAATATGTGATCTGCTGCAACTTCGGTTAGCGCCAACGCCACAGCTCATACATGTATTTTGTCGCAACTCGCAAAGGCTCACTCTCACTAGTGGTGTAACGATACGGCGATACAGTATTGTATCCCGATGCACAGCCCACGATACGATGCATCGATTTGGAAAGCATGTATCGCGATACATACTATATTTTCATAACACAGTTTTACTTACCATATTTCCTTGAGTATAGTGCACGCTTTTTTTCCAAAAAACACAGCTGTGTAGAAGGGGGTGCGCATTATACACAAATTAATGAGTTTTGATGTTTTTTCCCCCATGGAAAGACATTACCATGAGCACGTAAAATCGGAAATACATGTCAACAAATCCATACTGAAGTTCGCAAATTAATCATGTTATTACACTGTCTGGCTATAAAAAGTGTTCTTTGTATATCTAGACTTATGTTTGTAACTTATTTCATTAATTTTATTCAAAATTCCTTTTAATATTGTTTTAATTAATTTCGGCGAAATCGTGTGTGAAGCGATCGGAAGATCGCACAACTCACCGTTATTAACAGCAACCACGGTCAGATTACCGCTATTGACGCCTTGAAACAAACTTTAGATGACAGAGAATGGATACATATATCATAACTGCCATACTTTGATTCGTTAAAAGTCATATTTGTTTTTGTTGGACGATTCTATGTCAACACGTAATTCTCGCGATCACGTGATCACGTGCAGGGGAGCCTTGACAGTGACTGGTCAGACTGGTTCCATGTAAAAAATAATACCCGGCAATAGCGATCAGCTGCTTCGCTTAGGGTTATTATTATTTTAAATATGTTTAGTAAAAGCTGCATCTAAATTAACAAGATATTGAAATATATATTATTCCTGATAAAAAAATAGTTTCAGATACAACTTTTGCCAATCCTTGCATCAAAATCCTGTAAAGTTATATCATTGGGTGTGTCTTGACCGAATCACCGGTAGATTCCAAGAAAACGTGTGTACAGCTGATTGCTGTGTTCGGCTTAGTTTACGAGAAAATGCACAAGGTAATCTTAATCCCTGGATATAAAACAATGCCTAGCTGAACAAAAAATACAATTTAAAAGGTAAATTAACATGTCTGGTGATTTTTTATCTCAAATTTCGAATTTGTACTGACAAAGTTTCTCATCACCTGTTCGTTTGCCCGACTTCGCTGAAGGGGTACGGTGTAATTTTTTTCTGCGGATAATATTCAAATTTCTTTTTCTCCCAAAATATTGAACCAGCTAGAGGGGGTACTTTTAAACATGAAATACGTTTAACAGTTTCAAAGCCAGTTTGTTGTTTCAGTAAAACATACTGTATTGCTGACAATTTGCTATAACAGTAAATAAACACCTTATATCTTCTTCAACTGTACTTGTCACATCTTTTAGAGAGCAGAAAGACATCAACTTGGCTTAGCTTGTACCAGTAAACACTGTATCACGATACGTATCGTATCGCGACCCCTGTATCGTGATACGTATCGTATCGCGACCCTCCCGTATCGTTACACCTCTAACTCTCACCTGGTGCTTCTTCAAAGCTCTCTGCTAGAGCAAGAGCTACACACCATAGCAGAAGTCGCTCACCTACAAGGAGAGAGCATCACCGCCATTCGGATTCATCGGAAGTATCAGTCGGTCAGGATGGAGATTCCTCAGTTGAATGGAATACTCACCTTAGCCTAGCACAGGGGCCTGATTGGGTAGCAGATAGTCTCGTGTCAGTAGTGCCTTCCCCCGGTATCGGGGTATCCATAAGAAGGATACCATATGGTCAGAGCCCACATCGATACCAGTGAAAATTTTGCTCAAGGATATGGTTAGGGCGCTAGACGTAGATTGTTCAAGGCTTACATTTGCGCCATCATTCAAAGAACAAGTTTAGGAAGCATGATTTTCCTTTCCATGTTTTCGCTGTAGCGGATCAGGCACATGCTTTGAATTAGGACTTACAGAGAATGAGATCAACCACGCTCAAAGCCCCGGACGCCAGATTCGCTTTCATTGAGACTGAAATCAGTTTTAGCGGGTACTAAAAACCTTCATCCTCACGTGCGATGGAGCAGAATTTATCAGCGATTAACCCAAACTACATAGACTCTGGTTGCGTTGTTACAACGTCAGATTGACAAAATAAGTAACCACCTCTGAGTAGCCATAGCGGAGATTGCCATTACGCGCAGGCTTGGTTACTTAGCGCTCTCCAACTGGGATTCGGACCAGGATTCCTTTCGTGATAAGGGCATGGGAGAGGCAAACCACAAGGCTCATATCAGTCTTGCTGTGGTAAATTTCAGGGCAAGGATGGTGATAAGAGGCAGAAACACTGAAGAGTGGGACAATTACAACTGAGAGCTCCCACCCCCAATCGTCCCAAACGCCACCACCCCCATAGGTGGGAGACTATGCCTATTCTGGCAGAACTGGGCCATACTGAAGGACACTTTCGTACTCAACGTACTGCGCTAGGGCTATCGTCTAGACATGGAGGTAGCTCCACCGTTGACCACAGCTCCTCCACCTTGGGATTATCATCTGCAACATAGACATTTTGTTGAAGAAAAGAGCTGTAGAGATTGTACACGCCCCAGTGTTGACACCAGGCTTTTACTCTCCCACCTTTCTGGTTCCCATGAAGGACTCCGCCAAGATATGGATGATTTACAATCTCTCCGTTATCAACGAGCATTACCTTGAGTGTCCACCTAACTTTGAGACTGCTCAGAACAATAGCGCATTGGATTCCTTGATCACCCTCATTCTGCTGGATGCGTTCCAGTTCAATTGGGTCTACTACCAATGGGCAGTGATGCCCATGGCTATATACATGGATAATCAAGCCAATAACTGCCTTTCTCCACCTGAGGAACATCAGATTCAAGTATTACATAGGACACGTTATCCCTAGTACGCCATCAGGATTTCACCAGGGATCTGCTTTTCCAACTCGGATGGATAGTCAAGGAGGTGAAGTCAGAGTTAACTATTATCGGCTTTAGTACATAGGGTGCCTGTTTCAGACAGATCTGGACCTTCTATCAGTGCCGAGGGACAGATGGCTAAAGATCTTACACCAACAATCACGCATACTACACCATTGGCAAGTGTTGGGACTACTCACTTCAGCCCAGGATTTGACAAGCAGAGGCCGCCTACAACTTTGTCCAATAAAACAATTACTGCCTACTTACATCAGACGGCAGGATCAACTTTTTGGTATCACTCTACCAGTCCACCTAAGGATTAACCTCAACTGGTGGACGTTAAGAGTCAAACGTCTTAGAAGGCATCTCCTGATCTGGGCTAACACCGAAGCTAAATCTGTTTGTAGACGCTTCCCTTCAGGGGTAGGGTGCTCACTTGAAGGGCCAGACAGCCTCAGGCCTGTGGTCGAGCGCACAATAAAACTTGGCACATAAACAATTTGGAGTTTGATGCTTGCATTCTGGCCATCTCACATTGGCAGGAGCAGCGACAGTCCACCCAATTTGCAATATCCACCGACAACAGCATGGTGGTGTGGTGCCTGCGCAATCAAGGGACAATGTACTCCCACACCCTTCTTCAACAGACATTCAGGTTCTTTCATCTAGTGGATCATCTGAGACTACAATTCCTTGTCCAGCACATCCCCACTCAGGTGTGTTCAAACTGGTACGTCAGCGCTTCGGGCAACCATACATCAATCCCAGGGGATGCGTTCAGCATCCCCTGGCAGGGGCTAAAAGCGTACACTTTTCCCCCACCTATACTACTTCCCAGGGTGATGTAAAAGATTAAAGAATAAAAGAGCCTTGCTCTGACTTTGGTCGTGCCTTGGTGGCCTGGCGAGGGGATAGTTTGTTGATCTCAAAAACCTTGCAGAAGACGATCCACAATCCCTCCTAGAGTCGTCCAACCTACTCATCCATCCTCACAGCAAACTACCTCACCCATCGCCAGGCAGGTTTCATCAGCATGCCTGGTTCGTCTTAAAAAGGCGTTAAGCGCAAAGGGCTATTCGGCACGGGCAGCTAAGACTATTCCTTTGGCACATCATCCCTCAACCAGAGGGTTAAACGATGACAAGTGGAGATCATTTGATCCCTTTTGTAAGGCTGAAAATCAAATCCCTCGACAGGGTCTCCTCAAATCTTAGCCGAATACCTCCTACATTTGGGTACCAAAAGACACTTGAACGGTAGCACCATTACAATGTATTTGGTAGTACTTAATTCAGCTGTTCTGGAGAATCGCGAAATGACCAAGGTCCCGGAACTAAAGGCCTTATTACGCTCTTTCAGGCTTGAGGATCAGCCCCTGCGCTGCGTTATGAGCATTGGTATGCAGGGAGCAGTACATCTCAGGTTGTGCTGGGATTTCATGGCGAAAAATCAACCTCTAGATCAACCTGATCGTTCTTTAGCATTCCACCAATCTTGACGATTGTGGGCTTTGAAGATGAGGGTGCACTCCTTTTGTGTCAGGTGCGCGCACTACAAGTTTTCATCTGCCACTCCAAAAGTAGGTGTGGTTTGCAGAAACGGCTATTCATTCCAGTATCCTGTATGTCCAGGACCGAAGTTAGTTGCAACACCATATCTCTATGGTTATGTGCAGTCATCCTGCAACCTAGAGATTGCTAGACTTGATCCGCAGAGAGTGAACAACTCTCCCGAGATCGCCTCTGCCATGGCTCTTCACAGCAATTGTTCTATTAGAACAATCATACAAGGATATTTTAGAGGTCTGACATGGTGTTCTCAAGTCAATATATTTGTGATGTGGCTCTTGAACACGTCGAAGGCGTTCACAGTTTTGGCCTTCTGGTAAGCCAGTTTTCTCTTCCTGCCCAGTGAGAGGAATTTTCAAGCTTTTTATCAGCTTAGGCTTGGTAACACAGCATGTAAAAATTTAGCTAATGATATCTTCTGTTTTTACAAGTTTGTGTACACAGACTTATCCTCAATTCTCATGGTCTGTCTGTAAATAAGACTAAACGAGCCCTACTGCTTTTTTTGCCTTACGCTTATTTGACTGTAGTTTGTCTTTTCAAGGGTATTATTGAGGCTTTTAAATACTCCTCCATACCTGGATACCTGATACAGATGCATTAAGGAGTAATGCAGGATAAGTAATAACATTTAGTAAAATCTAAATATTTTTGACATTTGTATACTTATACTGCATTACTACGTCTTAGAGGCCCACCCATCGCAGACCTGCTATAGCTTCAGAACCTTCTCTTTTTTATAACTTTGGGCGACAAGTGGTAATATGATTTGATGTGACGTCACATCTGGTCACATGACAGCGGCGATGGTCCTACAAAAAGCGGGACTTGAGATGGAAACAGTGTTATCTCTTTCTACAAAGACTATCTTTAGGCACTGTCTCTTTTTGTAGTAAGGTAAGCAGTAAATCTATTTAGGAGTAATGCAGGATAAGTATTCAAATGTAAAAAATACTATTTGACTGATACTTTTGATCGTTGGTTGGTCATATCTTGAAGACAGCCTTGATGTCAGCCCTAAAATCAACCACTGATTATATAATATTGCATAGGCGATACTTGTTGAAGATTTGTTTATATATCTTGAAAACAGTGTATGTAAGCTTGTCAAATATGAGCTGTTGTTTCACAATCGATTGGCTTGCCCTTTTTGTTATCGAAGCACATTTCATCACAATCTGGCCAGTAAAGATTCCACTTGGCCAATGGGTTAAATATTTTACTTAAATGACAAGTTAATTCAAAATTGAACTTGGAAGCCTGTAATTAATGCAGTTAATTTTTATCCTGACATGACACATTGCAATTTCCTTCTTCACTTTGATCTAATAATAACACTGAACCCAAAATGTGCCTTTTCTACCTCAAAGGGCACCCCTTGGACTTGGTAACCAATTAGGAGTTATGTCCTTGATCTATCATTTTCCTTCTCATCACACTCAAGCATACACATGTGCTTGCCAATGAGAAAATATTTCCTTGATTGTGTTGATTTGACTGGATAGATCAATGGGTGGACACACCCAAATTCAATCGCTTCACGATAAGATGTCTCATGTCTCCAAAAACCTGACTCTCTGCCTTGGGATCACGTTGTTCCCTCATCTCCTCGGGAAATCTTTCTCGCCACCAGCAATACTACCCAGAGTACTGCAGAAGTTGAGGGAGATGAGGCTGATACAAATGCTTTCTAGCAGGATACACAGGAGTTCTACTAGAAGGCTTTGTGACACCCAAGTGGAATTCATTTGTATCCTACTATTTGTATCAATCAAGAGGTTGAATCCTATGAAGGCCATGCCTCAGTTCATTGTGGCTACTCTCTTCTCACAGCCAAGAAATTACAGGGTGTGTGGTAAAGGAGGCATCAACGTTGCTGACATAATTTCTGTACTGGCAGCTTCAAGGTTCGTGAAGACTAGCACATGTAGGTTAAAGAGTTGCAGGCTTGAGACCTAGGGGTATTGCTACAACAATTTGTGTCACAACCGTATGAACCAATAGAGCAGGCAGGATTAGAGTTTTTGACTCAAAACACTTTTACTTATGGCCTTGGCTACAGCAGCTCGTATTGGAGAAATGCATGCTCTGGATCCAGAGAAAGTTTGACAAGATACCAAGGTTTCTTCACATGAGTCTTATGTGGGATTATGGCCAGAAACCAACAACTAGGTGAAGACAATTCTAGGGCATTTGTCATGCAGGGCGTGCTGATTAGCCATTATGTCTGGTGCATGCTCTTCGAAGGTACTTGTAAACTTCCAGGAGAAAGAGGCTGTTTCTTCCTTTAGCAACTAATAAATAGCCAAGGTCACGAAAAATACCATGGCGTTTTGACTTTGGTTGACAATTCTGCAGGCATATCAACATGCAGGTTTGGCTCTGCCTCAAGTGCACCATCCCCACAAAATCAGGCTCTGGCATCCACAATGTCACAACAAACCATTTGCTCAGTGGGTGATGTCATCAAGGGATGCTTTTAACGAACAGACACTGGCTTTACCAACTATTGTCTGGGGGATCTTTGAAGATGTATGAAGTCTATATTTGTTTTTCCATGTGTCAGATCGTGTTGTGTGTCATGGACGTGGCCCAACTGACTGCTGACAAGGTATTTTTCTGGTGTCTTTTAATGTAAATATTCTGAGGGATGGCTTGGATTTTGTTGTTACTGACTACCACTTGACATTCTGCTACAAAACTATGCTCAGTGCTTTGTCAGCTATTTCCCTGGTGTCACAACATAGTGTCAAAATAAATATTCTGAGGGATTGTTGGGCTCTGTTTGTTATGTGCTACAACTTAAAAGTTCTGTTTCTCTGGATACCATGTATCTGAATCCACACAAGTACTTGACCATGAAACATAGCTTGACATAGGCAGTGACAGGTATTTCCAGGATTTGTGAAAGGGCACAGTCCAATCCTCACGTAATGTGGCGGTAGTTACCTGTTACACAAGCTGCAGACCTCACCACCATAGGATGCGATAAACATGACAATGTGTTGTGTCAGGATAAGAAATAATTTACATGAATTTAGATATTCATGATATAAGTATACTTATCCCCATACATGATTCAGGAGTTAGAAGAGGCACATTTTGTGTTTTGGGTGATATGATTGAAGTGAAGAAAGTAATTGCAATGTGTCAGGATAAGTATAATAATGTGATAAATTTCCAAATTCATGTAATTTTCTTGATTTTTCTATTCTCCTTCTGTTGCAGGACAACACTAACCTGTACATGGTATTGGAATTTGTCTCTGGTGGAGAGATGTTTTCACATTTAAGAAGGATAGGACGTTTCAGGTACATAAATCATTGCATGTTGTCGGTCCATTGAAATTTGATACTTAATCATTTCCTATGATGCAATCTTAATCCCATATTAGTATTTATTATTGATCAACATTTTGCTTGTCACACCAAAGGCCAAGGTTTGATTCCCCACGTGGGTTCAACACGTGAGGCCTATTTTTCCGGTGTCCCCCATCATGATATTGCTGGGATATTGCTAAAACCGGCATAGAACTATACTGACACACTACCCTTGATATTTTATCTTTACTTGAACAATTGAATGGTATTGGCCTTTGGGGAATTCTTTGAAGTCCGCTGTACAACAGTTAGATGAAACACCTCATACATCTTGAACACTTGATGAGTGATGACATATTACACATAGGACAACAGTCGACACTTGTCCAATATGAAGACATTAATTGGAAAATGAAACAAGGTCAAGGTCGTGAGAACCATTAGCATCAAGTTCTGTCTGGCACCTCTTGACCAAAATGTACAAAATGTACAAAATGAGATTTCTGGATCACATGTTGGGAAATGGTTTCCTCCCACGTCTTTATGCTTTCACTGCCACATATGTTAACCTCCTTGATACTGTTCATGACTACAACTGTAGAGGCTTGTTAGGCCACTGATGTCACAGTTATGATGCTGTTGCGACAAAATATCACCTGACGGTTCTGCACAATCCTCCAACAATATGGGCGTTACTCATAGTATCAACCATTGGTTTGATGGGATTCTATTGGATTATAACTGACTGGTGTAAACAACAAACAAACTTTAGTCAGATCGAAAGGCACCATTTAACCACCAGACCTATGTGACCCGTGAAGATCTGGGTAGAGAATAGATCATCAGCAACTCATGCTTGTCGTGAATGGCAACTATACTTGTCATAAGAGGAAACTTGGTTGATACATGTCATCACATCCCAGTTGCGCAGGTTGATGTTTCATGATGTCAATCGCTGGATTGTCTGGTTCTGACTCAATTATTTTACAGACCGCCGTCATATAGCTGGGATATTGCTGAGTGCACCATTAAACAGCAAACAAACAAACTAGACCTATCCATGTGCCAAGTTTGGTGAAGGAATATTTAAAGTTTTCAAGATTTGCCATGTTGATATGCTGAATCCTAATGTTGCTGAAGATCTGAATTCCTCATTCCCGTTTGACAGGCGCATAGTCGAAGGACACCCCCAAATGAAACTCTCTATAACTGTTTAACGAGTAGGCTTTGCGTATATTTTTAGTTTTGTATGGTATGCATAAATGCTCAGCTTGCAAAATATCAAAACTATCAGTAGTTTATTTACCTCAAAAAGAAAACATTGCGTGTTAAGAAAGTTTCGGCCAAATTTATCAGCACTGATAATGGTACACACTACAGACGGAAATAAGACAGCACTGGAAAGCACTGGAATGTAAATACTTCATTTTTTGCCAACAGTAACACCGTTTACAACAGTCACAATTTCATGTCATAACTTGAATATATTAAATTACGATCCAAACATACATTGTCGAAGACCTAGAAATTTGATAACTGTAGATGTGTGTCTCCTTGATGCAAACAAAATGAACAGCTTATGGTGGTAAACATGCTCACTAAAAGATCTATAATTGTCCCCGCAAATATTTCCTTCTAAAGTCGAAGATGAACAGAAATACATAAACAAAGATAAATATTAATGTTATTTCTCCTGAAGAAGACAATGAACAGAAATATAAATACGAATGTAGTTTTTTGTTGATAATAATGCTAAGTATTTTTAAATATTCGCAGCGGAATAATTAATGTTCGAAAATAGGATATCTGAGGATATATCTATAAAATCAAGTAACATTAATTGCAACATAATTCAAGTCACAAATACCAAAAGTCAATTAGTTTCCACTGTGTGAAGACGAAATATCTCAGAAAATGAGCAAAATCCCATTACATGCAAACAAATTCTTATTGCTTTTGAACCAGGGGAGATTTTCTTTAAAAAATTCCAGGATAATCCCTGGGCTGATCTGTAGTTGTAGTGGTGCATCCCATTCTTGCTTTAATGAACATGACACTGAAGTGATTTTCCATTATTGTGGGTTTATTAAGGATGCCCAAATAGGTAGTGTGTTGCATGGGGGGCTGTACTCTTCAAATTTCCAAGTAAAAAGACAGATTTAGCAAGGACAGTTTGGATACAGCATTTTGAGGCATCTGCCGATAAGAGGGATCCAGACTAAAGGAACTTGGTTATGAAAATGTGAGAGAGAAAGGATGCCAAGTTTGAAAAGAAGACTTTTGAAGAGAATGACTTGCCGACCATACATACAAGGAGCCCACTGCTCAGCCATTTCTACAAGTATCAAATTGTATGAATGGAGGCTGAAAAGTTCTGAGACTAACTATAATGGACTGGGCCCCGTTCCTCAAAGCGATCTTAGCGCTAAGGTGATCGTAAGTCCCATGCTTAAAAATAGGCTTACGATCATCTTAGCGCTAAGATCGCTTTGAGGAACGGGGCCCTGGAAGTTAGTTGCGGCACACTTCTGCAAATGATGCTGGAGTGCTTGGATCCCACTGGTGTAGAAGGCTTCCTCCTGGTGGTGTGTGTAAAAAGTCCTCAACAGCAGAAATGACATCATCATCATTTGCATATTGTTTGCCAGACAGTTCTTATTCAAATTTGACTGTGCCAAATCTGGTGAATATGGGAGATGTTCGATGAGTTCAAAGCCACAGTCTCATCTTGAAGCTGTTGCGACTTCAGATTTGTGCGCAGGCACATTCTCTTGGTGGAACAAAATGCATTTTCCACGATGTTTAGCCTTGATATTCTCATGCAGTTGCCTTTGCAGGGTAGCACAATATTGGCTGTTAATGGTCTGACCTTTCAGGAGGTAGTCCATTGGTAGGTTTCCTTTGGAATCCCAGAAAACCAAGGCCATCAGTTTACCACCTTAAGGAACAAAGTTTGCCTTTGTCAAAGACATTAGATGTTTCCACTGCTTTGACTGTTGTTTAGTCTATGGCTTATGGCAATGAATTGAACACTCATCCATGGGTACAATTCACTCAACAAAATCAGTTGGGTTTGAGCTGAGATGATGAACCTCGAGTGTTTCTGATCTCTGATCAGGAGTCAGTAGTCTTGGAAACCAGCTTGCTGAAACTTTGCCAAGCCGAGTTTTTTGGGGTTTTTTTACGGAATGTTCTCAAGTCTCATATGCCTACTGTATTGGCTATGTGAGGTGTGGTGTGTCAATCATCCATAATGATATCATATATTTTATCAACATTTTCCCTCGTGGTTGCAGTTGAAAATTTTCATGATCTTCAAGGCTCTCTCTTCCCCTCTTGAATTCATTTGCCCACTTCTTAACAGTGGCAAAGGAAAGAGCATCATCCCCTAAAGTTGACACCATGTTGCATGGACAGCTGTTGCTTTAGTTGGAGATACTTGGTTGACAGCTTGATAGCCAATATTGTCCATTTTCGTCAACAGAGAATACCTAGTCACTTTCATGCCTGCAAGAAATATGCTGCCTGGTTGAGTATTTGGTTCAAGTGCAGCCTTTAAGCTTGGAAAGTATTGTAATTCATACATGCGAAATGTTAATAGTGTACTTTATGGTGTGTCTGTGTGTATTAGTTCACCTGACTAGAAGTCAAGTGAGCATATGCTATAGTGCATTGGTCAGCAACTCTCTGCCCAGGTGTCTGTCCATCTTTTGCATTTTAGACATTTCTGAAACTACAATTCAATGAAGCTGAAACTTTCCATGAGTGATCCCAGCCGTGGTGTCTTTAAAAACTGCTCACCAAATTCCAATTATGTATATGGCCACCATGCCACCCATATTGAAAACATCATTTATGTTGAGGCATTTTTGAATGTATCATGCAAAATAACATATGATACATTTTGGGGGAATATTTTGATTTTTGATCCAGCTACGACATGTCGTCCTTTGACTTTCACATACCCCAGCAAAGGCAAACCATATTGACAAACCTATGTAAGGATACTTCAGTGGCATTTGTTTTTAAAATGTAATGAAATGTGTCACATGAGTAGGTCTTAGTGGGGCTCATCATATGTGTTCTGAAATTCTTATTGCAATATTTAAATCATGCTCTTACATTCTCCAAGCATGCATTCTAGGCTCTGTAAGCATCTTCTCTGAATTTGCCAGACTTTGGAAGCTTAAAATGTATGCTTCTTTAGATTACGTCATATTTCGGTCAAACCTATGGAATTGAGTGTTTTGTTTTAGTTCTCAGTGTTTACCCATAACATATTTGAATATCAATGCTGACAGCAAATTTGATGTGGGTGTTTGTTGGAAACTATAAACTTCATATGCAGGAGAGGTACTGTCTCGTGGCACTATTCATTCTTTTCCAAGAATATTTTGCACATATTTGATTTAATTCACCATAGATGTTGGTCACCATAAAGTCATAAAATTACTTCTTCATAATTCAGGTGAGCTACAGAGACTTGTGGCTCTATAATATTTCCCCCGCTATGATCTTTCAGCTTCACTTACCCTTAAATAGTTTTTTAAAGTTGCATCATTCTACCTTGAAGCCACACTTTTATGATGTTGAGGAATAAGTTTTTAGATGTGATCCCAAATGTGCTTGCACGATTCTGCTGAGAGTTAATGATGGCAACCATTATGGGCATATTGAAAATATAATTTTAGCCCATTATTCATCCATTTCTGGATATATTGCTGTTAAATCCTAATAACAGAGATAAATCTCGGTCGCACTTCACATACCCACAAAATGATTATTCCAAAGGGTGATAATGCTCATGCAAATATAAGGTGCCACTATGTTTCATTTGTGTAGTCGATGTGTGAACATCTTTCCTATTAGTAAAAATAAACATCCTAATTCCCCTTTTTATAAGATGGGGGCTTCCTTCCACTTGATGCTATCCCAGATTTATCTCGGTCATGTGTGCCCATTAACATTGTTGTGTGTTTGTGTTTTTTCCTTCGACTCAACATTGACCTTTGACCTTCATATAACTCTGTGGCTGACACGGCAATCATAATTGAAAAATTGAAAATCTTTTACAAATATTTGTGTGTCACAGTATATATTTTGATCTACATGCAGATGAGATGTCTGTTTTATTGAAATTTGTGTCACCTTTTCCAATTTCTTTCTTTTGGGGAGACTAGTACTTAGAGTGTTTGCTTGCTCTTTGCATCGAAAATAATATGTGTGATGCCAGTTCTTGGTGTCTTCCAGAGTGATGTTGCCAAAATACTGTTACTGTGGTGTAAAACTTTGTGGTCAAATGTTTCAGGTGAGCTACAGAGACTCCAGGCTTTATTTTTAAGTTTGTTTGTAACAATGAACTTACGTTACTACATGATGGCTTCTAGCATTGCAGCGTGTAAAACTGTTTTATGGAGCGTCTTGTGGGGCTTGTTCTGTTTTTGTATGTAATGCATATCCTTTGCAATTTGTTATTGTTCCTGATCAAGGACACTAGTCCATAGTTTCGAAAAAAAGCTATGGGCTAGTTTCTTGTTCATATAGTACAACATTTTGATAATCAGTCTTATCACTGGTCACAGTATCAAGTGGTCATATTTGTAGATGATAGGTATGATTATAGTGATCTATATCTATATCCACAAATATCTTTTACAAAATCAGGAAATTCATCATAATATATGTGGATCATATTTACATTTGGGTATCAGAACAATGTTCATTTCTACTTTGGTGTTTCTTTCTGTGATTTATGAATACTTAGATGACAAACGCAATTACAAAATTAATATAATTTTCACTGTCTATTATATTTCCATGTCTTCCCAATCTTTTCTAATATTGTATTGTTGGTGTAGGATTAACTACCTAAGAGATTTCTATGTTTTCCACACTTTACAATTAGTGACTAACCTTTTTGTTCTTTCTGAACATTTCATTGCAGGTTTGAAGACAACGTTCATATGTACATTTTGCAAATTGTTATTATTTATTAATTTTGTTGCAAATTTGTTTCCTGCTATATTTCCATGATTTCAATTTTTTCCAGGCGTTGTAATCTCAAGCAGTTGATCATTTTATTTCAGTATGCATAAAGAGAATTTAAAGTCAAAATAAGCTGTTCCTTTTTGTAATGAATTTTGTTTATTTTTCTTTATTGATCAGTGAGCAACATGCCAGATTCTACTCATCACAAATTGTGCTGACGTTTGAGTATCTACATTCCCTTGACATTATATACAGGGATCTTAAGCCTGAAAATATCCTCATTGACACTAATGGCTTTGTCAAAGTAAGTTGGCTCTCATAAAGCCACCTAACTGGATGTAGTTGAGAATGTTCCGTAGTCTACTGTTACTATTAACACATTATACATTCCTTTCATTTTTTTCCCATTTTTTTCTGTTGGTCTTTAGTTTTATTTTTCCTGTAACCCTCTGCTTTTGCTTTGCTTCAGTGAACCCCACTCCCGGTTTTACGCCGCTCAAATTGTTTTGGCTTTTGAATACCTTCACTACCTGGATCTAGTGTACCGAGATCTCAAACCAGAAAATATGCTAATTGACCCACAAGGTTATATCAAAGTAAGTTGACTGTGCTGGACATGCTATCCACCATCAGGGCTGACCGTGTGTAGTACAGTCCTGCTGTTATTGTGTCCACGCCAACATGTTTCTTGACAATGTGTTTTACTTTCTTATCCGTCGTTACAGTCAACTTGTCTTTCAGTTACTTTGAACCATTGTTTTTGTACTTCTCTTTGACAGTGAGCCGCATTCCCGATTTTATGCTGCACAAATTGTGTTGGTGCTGGAATACTTGCACCATTTGGATATTATGTACCGAGATTTAAAACCTGAGAATTTACTGGTTGATTCTTCAGGCTACTTACAGGTATGGCGAGGTGTCTTCAGCTCAACTGATTGCTCTGTCTCTACCACATATATATATTTCCAATATTCTGTATGCCTTGGGTAATTTAGGTTAGCACATGCTTCTGTGACCTTGTGGTGATGGGGCTTTAGTTAAAGAAACTTCCAGCCAAATTATCCAAAGATTATGACGTTTTACCATATGAAACAGTATGTATGTCTTGTCCACACAATTAATAACAAAATACACATACATACCCTAGCATTATCATAATATAAGAGGAAAACCATATTGAAGGTGTGAATGGAACTATCTTTATGGCGCACTAGACAATGCAAGTTTTGAGCATGTCGTGATTATATGATTTCAATACTTAACTAAGACAAGTGATGACAAAAGTATTGTTTTTACTGTGACCTTGCAATAATTAGTAAATACCATTTTGGGGTTGTTACATTTAATTTCACCCCAGTCTGTTGGCTGAAATACTTGTCACTGACGGGATGGAATAGGTCTTCAGCAACCCATGCTTGCCCTGAAAGGCGACAATGCTTGTCATAAGAGGCAACTAACGGGATCGGTTGGTCAGGCTCACTGACTTGGTTGATGCATGTCATCGTATCCCAATTGTGTGGATCGATGCCCATGATGTCAATCACTGGAATGTCTGGTCGTGACTCGATTATTTACAGACCCCTGATATTTATGTTCAAATTCACTCTGAAGGTAATATACTCAAGAACTGATAAGTAAAAACAGGAAGACGTTACAGTAGTAAGATTTAGTACATCCTTATGATGGAGCAATGAAGTGTTAAGGTTGTGAGTAACTAACAACCAAAGACCTTAATGTATCACTAGTACTTAAATATAGTATTATTGCTACACTAACAACACATTAACGATGCCTTAATGGCAGTAAATGCACATTTAATTGTCACCAATCCGTACATGGTATGAAGTGTGGGCTGAGATAGTAAACTGATCGTGTTTGTTGGTAGTTGAAGCACAGGTTGTGGTTGAGGTTAGTGGAAACACATTGTAGTACCGGTAGATATGGTTGTAGGTTTTCCGTTTTGCATGGCTGTATGCCAACACACCAATGTGTAATCATGAAAAGTTTAAATTTTTTACTTATCCTGCATTACTCCTAAATGCATTTACTGCTTACCTTATGACAAAAGAGACAGGGCCTAGCGATGGTCCTGGGTGAAAAAAAAGAAAAAGCTGTTTCCATTTCAAGTCAACTTTTTGTAGGACCAATGCCACTGTCTTGTGACTGGATGTGACGTCAAATCATATTACTGCTTGTCTTCAACATGGAAGGATGTGTCTCGCTTGGCTCTCTAACTTGTCGTTTCATTTGGTGGTTAGCATTCAGCTACCACACTAAATTACGATGGGTGATGAATTGCTTTCATATTACTTTCACTTGATTGTGTATTAATATGCAGGTGTTTTCAACGTAAAAAGACTTTAAAAAGTCTTTTTTTCTGCTATTTTGATTCTTACCAAGGTAGTCAAGTTCTCGGCTAGGTGTTAACATGCTTATGTATATTTAAATACCTGTAGCCTTTGGCGTTATATAGAGTTTTCGCTTCGGCACATTTGGACAGCAGTCTATGACATGGAGGCATCCAACGCTTGTGCCAATATTCCAGCTACATCAGACACCAGCTCATGATACAACCCTAGCATTTACGGTTTCATCAGTGCCTGCCGTACCAGATGCCAGTGATACGTCAACTTGTATGCCCATGTGCCAGCAGCCTATGACACGGTGGTATCCAGCGTTTGCGGCAATGTACCAGCCACTCAAGCCACCAAACCTCAGCGCTGGAGACGACACAAGCGCTTATTAGTATGTCAGCGTCTACCATCTATGCCCTTCATGTCGGCGGGTACAACGTCAGTAAGCTTTTATACTACTTACCCATACGTGGATATCATCTCAGGGTTCAGTCTCACCCGGCGTTTTTCAGCCAAGCACTCATTGGTAGTGAGGCCTACGCACCTTACCAGAAGTTGCTCATCGCTGTGCTGAGTGAATTGCCACAGTTCCAAGGTTTCTGAAGGTGCATCGGACGAGGATCTGCGATAGGGAATACCCACCTCAGTTTGGCCAAGATGCTAGATTGAATGGCAAACTGACTCACGAGTGGTAGGTCCATCACCCAGGCCCAGGTTTGACAAGGACACCATTTTACCCCACCCTACACTGATATCACCGGATCCCGCACTCAGGGGTATGGGTGAGGCGTTCGAAGAAAAAGTTATCCAAGTTGATGCTGGCACCAGCGTTTAAGACGCCAAAGTGAAGGAAAGATGACTTTCCTATTCATGCCTTTGAAATGGCTGACCAGACGTAGAAGGACCCTCAGAGGATGAAGGATGAATGGCTCATCCATGCTGACCATGCTTAGCATCCCAGATGTTAGGTTCGTCTTCATTGAGGCCGAGGTCAGACACTTACTTAAGCTTAGGCTTTCTCATCTGGCCCTTAGAACAAGACCTGACTGAGACCAAAGCCATTCGTCTAGACCACTTACGGACAGTGATAGAACTTTCAGCATTCAAAGGAGGTCAGGTTTCATCAATCTTCGGCAGCACCTCATGCTGAGGTATCTGAATAGACATTAGCTATACCAAACTTGAAGAGCTTCAAACTTTCAAGATCGGTTTGACATTTTACAGAATCGTCATATGCTCACTGACTTGATTGATGTATGTCATTGTTTCCCAATTGTGTGGATCGATGCTCATGATGTCAATCACTGGATTGTCTGATCGTGACTCGGTTATTTACAGACCGGTCATATAGCTGGAATATTGCTGTGTGCGATGTTAAACAACAAACAAACGACATCTGAATGCAGGATAAGTAAGAACATTAAATAAAATCGAAATATTTTTTTACATTTGTATACTTAACCTGCATTACCATGTCAAAGGACCCATCCGTTGCAGACTTGCCTCCCCACTATAGCTTCAGAATCTCTTTTTGATAGCTTGTCTGACGAACTGTAATATGATTTGATGTGGCATCACTTGACAGTGGCGATGGTACTACAAAAAGACGACTTAAGATGGAAACAGCCTTCTTCTTTTTTCACCCAGGACCATCGCTAGGCGCTGTCTCTTTTGTCATAAGATAAGCAGTAAATGCATTAAGGAGATATGCAGGATAAGGATACAAATGTAAAAATGTTGCTAATGGTGTATAATGAACAATATATTTGTCGTCTGATTTTGGGCGAATTGTGGGATTTGGAACACATTTTTTTCTTAGAATATTATTATTGCTTACTGAAAGTTTGTTCCAACCATTCAACCTTGTTAAGCCCATTATAATAATGTTTTTCAAGTTTTGCTTTATGGTTTTGTTTCACATACTCCACCTAGAAAGGTTATTCAGGATAACTGCATGAACACTTGGCACTGATGGCAGTCTTTCATAGCTGTCCAATATTTTAGCTGGGTCTTAGGTTTGTGACATTGCCTGGGATTATTTCATGGTGTGGTATCAACAAATTGTTGGAGTTGCAAAAGTATATCAATGGTATTGAGCAAGAAGACATTTTCACCATTTGTAGTTGTCATATAAAGCCTGTTGGCAATTTACTTCACATTTCAAAAAGGAAGTACCTCTTCTTCTGTACCTTGCTATCACACAGTTTTGAGCAGACTTGATGTTGCTAGATTAGTTTGTGTATTGAGTTTGCATGAGTTAGAATGTGTTATTATGTATTAGATGCTGTTTATTCCTAGTAGATGTCATCACATATGCCAGTTCCTGTTTGCTAATTTTATAGACAAAAAGTAACAGATATTCTTTAATTACCAATAAATGTAAATGTCAAATCCTACAAGGCTTCCATTGATTTGTTTATGTCATGTATGGATGACTGCTGCTAGTGTTTGCTATGAATGTATACTATTATGTCAGCGAGATAGAGATATCTCTCGTTGCCACTCTCTGTAGCCCTTCAGACAACCAGGTGTTGCCAGCCAGTCAACCCAACCCTTTCGAAAGGTAAGGTAAGTGAAAGTCTGCATGGCCTGCAAGGCTTGTGGCTGGATGGCTGGCTGGCTGGCACGACAGTTTATGAAATGTCTAGAGCAAACTTAAGTTATTTGGAAGTTGAATACATTCACATTCTAGAAAATACTGACATATATTTCTAAGAAGTGCACAGTAAAGTTAGTAAAACCAAATGTAGTACAAATGATGAACAATAATAATGTTTGTTTCTGATGGTTTGAACTTATTTGTTTTCATGCCAGACTTTCATCTTTCAAAATTAACGTTAATTTCAGTTATCTGGTTGTCTGATGGGAGATATTCATCAATTTCTGTGGTGCATTCGAAATAGTCATTTTTAACAAACTGATAAATTAAAAGATGTTTCTTTTCAATGATTCAAATGTTTTGCATTCTAATGTAATCTCTTGGATACTATCTGCTGACAAGTATGCCTGATCTTTGGTCATGTCTGCAGAATATTTTAATAATATTGTATTCATAAAATTTGGCTTAAAATATAGATAAAATGTCCTGTTAAGTCAATAAATAAAAAGTGCATCTTTTCATACTCCATACCATATGCAGAAAACCAACCTTGCAATGTAAGCAGCCTATGTGGAAATAAGATACATTTATCCTTCTTTTCAATGTGTGTAATTTATTTTAAATATGATGTACCCTATATATCATTTGTACAGGTAACAGATTTTGGTTTTGCAAAGCGTGTGAAGGGTAGAACCTGGACCCTTTGTGGTACACCAGAATACTTGGCTCCAGAAATCATCCTCAGCAAGGTACAAATCACAACCCTTTTCATGTGCTCAAATCGTACTAATACAGCCATGAATGAGTAAATATGTCTTACTTTTTCATAATGCACATAATGCAGGGGGATATAGCGATCACCCAGTCTGTCTGTCCGTCCGTAATCATTTCCTTTTCCGGGGCAGAATTCCAAAACCATTCAGTGTATTTGATCGAAACTTGGCAAATCTATCCGGCACATACTGAAGTGGTGCCTTTTGATATTTTGGGATTTTTCTAATTTTTATTTTTTTAAATTTTTATGGAATGAAGTTGGACATAGACTCAATTGGGGATGGGGTTCATTTCTGGGGCAGAATTCCAAAACCATTCAGTGTATTTGATCGAAACTTGGCAAAGCTATCAGGCACATACTGAAGTGCTGCCTTTTGATATTTTGGGATTTTTCTAATTTTTATTTTTTTAAATTTTTATGGAATGAAGTTGGACATAGACTCAATTGGGGATGGGATTCGTTTCTGGGGCAGAATTCGAAAACCATTCAGTGTATTTGATCGCAACTTGGCAAATCTATCAGTCTCATACTGAAGTTGTGCCTTTTGCTATTAAGGAATTTTATTATTTTTTAATTTTTACGTTTCCATGGCAACAAGTTGGACTTAGGTTCTATAGGGTAGAGTTCGTTTCCGGAGCATAACTCAAAACCTATTCAAAACATATACTGAACCGGTGCCATTTGATATTAAGGAAGTTAATAAGTTTTAGAAATGTTTATTTTAGAATTTCCATTGCAGCTATTTTGAAATGGGCTAAAAGAAATGTTGGGTCACTTACCTGGTTTGGGACCATAACGTGTTAAAATGGGTGGGGGATATAGATGACTTCGTGACTGTACACTTGTTTAGTCATTGTTTCTTGTAATTTGTCATTTGTTTGCATAAAAAAAACCATACAGAATAGCACATTTACTTGTGGTTACTTTACAGACAGCTGCCGGGGGGATATGTCATCTTTTTGATGACTCTTGTTTAACATTTGGGTGTATCTTTCACGTTTAAGAAATTATATTGGTGTATTGAACAGGCAAGGTAAAAATTAATATGTATGGGCATTCCCTCACAACATAAGGTTGACGGGTCACAAAATTATTTCTTAAAAAGTCAGGCCTTGTTGCACTGTTATTCTTGATTTCATTCATTTTTAAATATCTTGTTGACATTATTGACAAACTGAATATTTGTTTGTGCAGGGTTACAACAAGGCAGTTGACTGGTGGGCCCTTGGTGTCCTCATATATGAGATGGCTGCAGGATACCCTCCATTCTTTGCTGATCAGCCAATCCAGATCTATGAGAAAATTGTCTCAGGAAAGGTAAGATACAATCTGCATTTTAAAACTGGTCGCTTATAATAGACCAGTAGAACATAATTATGTCACAGTCAATCATGTTATAATGCTATTGCAGCCATAATGAAACACCTATTTAAGGCTATTATTTTAATTTTTCACTTTTGCCCTTTGACCATACTGACAGTTGAAGCTTCTTATGACTATTTTCTTTCAAAATATAATGAAACTTGGTATGTGTATAGTTAGTGGGACTCAAATCATAGCTTTCTTTTTTTGCAATTTTTAAATGTTTTTACATTTACACTTTGACCATGCTACTAAATTCTCTCAAACCAAAGTACATTTCCAAACAATGTAAACATAATGACACTGAAATTTCACTTGCTTGTTTCCACACGTGATGACATTCAATTTTGATCAAGAGGTTCGATTCTGATTTACGATATGCCTCCTGCTTTTTGGTTATTTCAATCGCAAATACACTAGTTGACATCAAATGACAACAAATATGACTTTTAACAAGCCTAGGTTTGTTATTAATCATAAATATCCTTTCTCTGTCAACTAAGATTAGTTTCAAGGCATCAATAGCGGTAATCTGATCGTGATTGCTGTAAATAATGATGAGTTGGTGAGATCTGCCTATCAGTTTACATGATTTGGCCGAAATTTATGAAAATATTGAATGAAATTTTGAATAAAATTAATAAGTTACATGACAAATAAGTCAAGATATATAGTGAACAATTTATGACCAGATAGTGTAATAACAGGATTAAATTATATACTTCAGTACAGATTTGTTGACATGGTATTTCCGGTGTTACATGCTCACGGTAATGTCTTTCAGAACTCACTGTATGCATGTATTATGCACACGCCCCTCTACACATCTGTATTATATTAAATACGGTACTAGATTTATTCATTTGTGGTGTTTGTATAATACAAGACATTGTATCAGTATCAAGAACTGATGTCAAAGGCTTAAATTTTTTTAAAGAATTGGTTCTCAGCACAATTGCTTTTGAAAATATAGTGCAGGCGGGTGGCCTTTATTTTTTCATAATTTTTGTTCTTCAAACTAAAATGTTACCAAATATACAGTTGTGTACAATCAACCTGGGCAAGGGCCTCCCTACATAACTGTATTCTTTGATGCAAAAAATACTGGAATACAGTAAGTGTGCGCATAATACACACATACAATGATCTTCAAGTTTATTTCACAACATGAAGATGTTATCCTGAGCACACAACTGTGGAAGTAGCGTGTCAACAAATCCGTACTGAAGTACGCAAGTTAGTCCTATTATTACACTTTCTGGCTATAAAAGTGTTCATTGTGTATCTGGACTTACATTTGTACTCCCTTATACATGTATTACTTTTATCCAAGATTTCATTCAATTGTGTCTACATTAATTTCGGCGAAAATCGTGTATGAACTGATCGACAAATCACATAAACTCACCATGAACTCACTTTGAAACGAACATTAGTCATTAGAGACACAAAGTCTTTGGTCTCCCTATCCTTGTATTGATATTTCTTTTCAGTTATGATATTGGCCATGACATTAAGTATTTTTTAAACTAAATCAATCATAGATCGTGGAGAAAATGTGCTAACAGCTTATTTCTATTTCTAGCTCATTTTACGAGAGAAATACACATGTAATCTTAATCTCTGCCAAGAAACATTGTTCGGCATACAGTACACAAATACCATTGAATTTGTAAATCATTATGTCTAGTGATGTTATTGTAAATTTCATGTCTCATTGATCAAATTTACAAACAGCAAAATAAGCACACAAACTCCTATTGCCGCCATGACCTTAAAACGAGATGTGAAGTAAAGCAGTGCCATGTAAAGGGAAGTAACTGCACGCTATATTGGATCGCATGGTTTTAAAGTATTGTAGCATTTTACTGCTTGGGTTATGTGTTCGAGACATGGAATATGAAGGATTTTTTTATTTTTTTAAAAATGGAAATAAAAACGAAACGTGCGGCGGACTTTGTGATTATGCAGCGGTGCCTGAGAACCAAGAATTTTCTTTTTTTTAGGCTAACAATCTACAGGTATATACAGTCAAGTCTCGTTAATCCGACATCGTTGGTTGCACATGATTGTGTCGGATTAACGAATATGTCGGATTAACGAAATTAAGTGATTTGTGATCGAAAATCGGACATCTTCACGATAGATAATAACCGTGTGTACCTTGTAATAAAATCATTAAAAACGAAATATTTATATTGTTATGTTGTTTATTCATTTATTCCTTAATTTATAATTAATGACATTGCAAAAATAATAATAATTTTCCCATTTATACATAACAATAGAGACATTACTCACTGAATTTATCACATCAGCGAAACACTTTTCCTCGTATAAATGCAACACTACTGTCTTAACAACTTGCTTCATCTACTTAAAATAGTCTGTCAGTGTTTTCTGTTTCTCACATTTTGAAGGCACATTAATTCTCAAAGTCCCCTGCTCGCTTGACACAGCATTGTGTAATTTCATTTGCTGTTTCTTATAATAAAGACTGAAATTCTTTATGATCCCAGCATCTAGTGGCTGAATGTGCGATGTGGTGTTTGGTGGCAAAAAGTGACATTTCACATTAGTTTAGTCGACAGTAGCATGGGATGGGGCGTTGTCCAACAGCAATACCACGTGGCGTCGCTCCAATCGCATTTGCCGATCCAAGATCAGTAGCCAGGCTTTGAATATTAATGAAGTCATACATGCTTTCTTGTTTACATACCAGTCGAACATGGTGAGTCGACCATGTTTTTTATACCTGTTCGTATTATAAACTGGCTTCATGCACATTTATCTGGCTTCAATTTGTAAACAACATTTGTACATACAGGTTTGAATAGCTTTTCCTGTTAATTGTTAAGTTAATCTCTGCAGCCAGTGCGTGTCAAAACACGGGGTTGTGTACTCGCGGGCAGATGACCACAGAGTACGCTGACCACTGTGTCAGATTAACGAAACTGATCAATGAGTGATTTCGGTAATTTGTTGCAAATTAAGTGTGTCGTAGTGCGAGAATGTCGGATTAACGGGACTACGAGGGGTGTTCATTAAAGATTTCCCCTAAATCACTTAGGGTTATCATATTTGGTTGAAATTTCACATGTGTAATGATACATGTATCTATGGGTTATGTCTGAATTTGCAGCACCAAACTATTAATCTTACCACTTTTACAGGTGTTATGATCGAGTAGGGTGTGACAATGGAGCCAGTAGAATACCAAACAGTGATTAGGTTTTTACATTTAAAAGGTCGCACACCAAAAGAAACTTTCGATGAAATTAAACTAACTTATGGAGAAGATGCCCCATCATATGACGTTGTTAAACACTGGCATCGCCAGTTCAAGTGTGGTCGGACATCCGTGGAAACAGCTGCCATTCCTGGTCGCCCCCATTCAGCCATTGATGAGGACACTATCCATCAAGTGGAGACCGCCATTTTGGCAGACCGACGTATAACTGTTCGCCAGTTAGCACAAGATGTCAAGATCAGTGTAGGGTCTGTGGAAAAAATCATCCATGACAATTTGAACATGCATAAGGTGTCTGCATTCCCAGGCTGCTCACACCTTTCCAAAAGCAGGAACGAGTCAATTGCTCAAAGGATCTTTTGGACATGTGCCAAAAAAAAACAGGCAAACTTTTTTGACAGACTTATCACACAGGATGAAACATGGGTCCATCACTATGATCCTGAGACTAAAGTTCAGTCGATGCAATGGAAGCATGTGGAGTCACCATCCCCAAAGAAGGCACGTGTCCAACCTTCTGCAGGCAAGGTCATGCTCACGGTGTTTTGGGACCAGCACGGAGTAGTTATGATGGATTTCTTGGCAAAGGGTACCACAATTACAGGAGCTTATGCTTCACTGCTGCGGAAATTGCGGGATGCTATCAAGCTTAAGAGGCGTGGCATGCTGACCAAGGGTGTCCGTCTCCTGCAAGACAATGCTCCAGTACACAACTCTCATGTTGCCCAGACAGAAGCGCGGTCCTGTGGCTATGAAATCCTTCCACATCCTCCTTACTCTCCTGACCTTGCACCATCTGACTACCACCTCTTTCCAACCATGAAGTCATTTTTGAAGGGAAAACGTTTCACAGATGATGAAACACTGATTTCTGAAGTCAAGTCCTGGTTTGAGACGCAAAATGAGGCCTTTTACAAGCGAGGTCTCCATAGTTGCATAAAACGATGGGAGAAGTGTGTAACTCTTGGTGGTTCCTATGTGGAGAAAGACTAATACATATGCCAAGTTTCATTCCACTAGGTCCATCGGAAGTGGGTCAGGGGAAATCTTTAATGAACACCCCTCGTAAATAGCACTGAATCAATCGGTTCCCATCATTTGTGTCGGATAAAGCCAAGAGTCGGATTAATGAGTGTCGGATTAACGAGACTTGACTGTAGATCCAGGCCTAATGGACATGGTGTCAAGGGGACTACTTCTACAAGTCCTTCCAATCCCATTTCTAGTTGATATGAGCTCTTGTATTTACTAATTTTGTACATGTGATAAGTAATCTGGGATGAATGTTGATTGATTCATTTATGTATTGTAGGTACGCTTCCCATCCCACTTCAGTGGAGACTTGAAAGATTTGCTCCGGAACCTGCTTCAAGTTGACCTTACCAAGCGTTTTGGAAACTTGAAAAATGGAGTCAATGATATCAAAACTCACAAATGGTTCAACACAACAGATTGGATAGCAGTCTACCAGAAAAAAGTATGCAATAACAATCTGATATATTAATACATGTCTATCAAATGTCTGCCTTTCGTTTCGTTTCTGAAAAAAAGAAGAGTTTTATGGTAATGACTTTAAACGATTTAAAAATATTATCATATTTCACCTTTCTAGAATGATTCAAAATTAAGTTGTGAATATCATATCATGTACCCAGGCCTAAATTGAGATATCTTATCTGCAGCAGATTGTGAGAGACAGGAAAACATATACTTTTCATTATTAGATTAAAGCTAATGTTAAATCCAATTTGAAGACATTTAGTTAATGCTACAACTGTGCCATTTATTTTCAGGTGGAAGCGCCATTTGTACCTAAACAAAAAGGACCAGGTGACTCTAGCAATTTTGACGAGTATGATGAAGAACCTCTGCGCATATCTTCAACTGAGAAGTGTGCTAAGGAGTTTGCAGATTTCTGAGCCCCCTAAAGTTTCCTGTGCTGAGCACAGATCATTTCATGCATGGCATCTTCCCAAACAACAAATTGAGTGGCATTTGTCCTCTACTGATCGTGCAATATGTTGTCGGAAAGAATTGCGCGAGTCTCACACTCCTTGGAACATTGTAAGGAGACAAATGTTTGTGATAGCAGGAAGCAATCGGTTGTTTGAATTGGTCAACCGTTCTCTGGTTTTTCTTGATTGCATACACGACTTGATTGCCTGAGCAGGGACTTTTCAATTCAGGCTTGTTTGTTTGCCTTGTGAGACTAGTCAGAGCTACATGTTACAACAGTAGTCAATGGTTTTGCTCAATTTGAGACCTAAGACTACCTGTGGTTAATGTGTGTTGCAACAGAGATCAGACTGACACTCACAACACGGGTGACAAGTCACGACTCAGGCATGTCTATTCTTCTTGGAATCAAATGCAATTAACAAGATAGACAAGTCCTCAAACATGGCATTGCTGTGTACATAATGCTCTCTCATAATCCCTGTTACACAAATGTATGTGAATCATTTACAGAGAAAGTCAGCACTGCCCAAAGCATGTCTCCATTGTCAACTAATGTTTTGTAACTGTATGTTTGGGTTTTAAAGCACAGTCAAACCGCTGTGAAATATATTTATCTATGTGATGATCAATTTACTTAAGTCAAAACCTCTAGTTAGTTATTTTGAGTGTCGGCATCACTGAGATGCTAAATATCCAAGTGTTATAAGTGCTCTTATGTTACAATGTATGGAAATGTGTTTCACAGTATTGTATATTGAGTTACTTGTACAGCTTTCCTTAGAAGCAGTCTTCTGGATTATGCTTTTGGTTTTGAATCACTTAAATTTAAGTCAAATTGTGTACCTTTGAACAAAAAATAATAATTACTATTACAGGATTTAGGTGCTTTGACAAAACAACTAAATTTCTCATTTTATGTTCACCATGTCGTCTTTACATCAGTTTCCACATATGCACAAATGTTGTCATTTTTCTAAACAAGACTAGAGTGGCACCCTGTGTTTCTAACATGTTGAAATCTAACAATGTACATGTGTGGTGTTCTTTAGAAGAATGAATGCTTGTCCAAGCTGCCAAGTTGAAAAGTGTGTAAATGTGCTGATCAACGTTCCCCAGGTTTATGTTTGTGTTTATATGTAGTTAACCTCTTGTTCTGTTGTAATTCAAACACTTGAATATGATGTCATGTATCATTAAGATCAATTTTGAACATTTTGGGAATGAATGCTGTGCTTTTTTACTTACTTATCTAAACAATAAACTTAATATTTATTCCAGGCCATGAATTTTTAGTCACGTTTGGAAGCAGGTTGTTTCAGCTAATACTTTATGTGACATTTCAGGCTGATTTTGGGGGTTCACTAACCTTTTATTCATTTTACTTTCCCTCCAAGATTGTGTATTAATTTGTACATAGAGTACATTGAAGCATTTTTACCCTGTAGAAGAGAAACTAGAAATCTTTCTATTGTCCCTTTTGTTATGTTGTACAGCATTGATGTATAAAACAAAGTTTATTAGCTTTAATTATTATATGGCATATTTGGAGATTGTTAACGCTAGATCTGACATCATTAAAGAGAAAAGACCACTGTCTCGTGTTTAATTTCAGCCAAAAGTTGACTCAAATACCACACTGGCCCTGCTGATATGGAGGAATAACATCTTTCCTCTCATAACACAAGTAATATACAGCAAAATAAGCATGTAAAGGTTTGTATTGTTTTCTTCATTAACATGATATGTGAACAGTTTGTTACATCGAGTAACACTCTCACTTTTATGTATACTCAAAAAAACAAAAACAAAAAAAACAAAATAGTAAAATTTTAAATATCTGACATCCATACAAAATTAAGTTTAAAAAAATGAATGTCATTTCTGCCTTGACTGTCGACTGCAAACAGGAGAATCATCTTCAGCTGTAGTCAGGTTTTTCTACACAGCACCAGGGGCGGTGGGGTAGCCTTGTGGTTAAAACATTTGCCCGTCATGCCGAAGACCCCGGTTTGATTCCTGACATGGGTATAGTGTGTGATACCCATTTCTGGTGTCCACCGCCGTGATATTGCTGGAATATTGCTAAAAGCGGCTTAAAACCATACTCATTCACTCCATGGCACCAAGCACTATTACAAGACTCTGGAACCGTTGTGAGTTAGAACACCGCACAATCCCCCTTCAATGTTTAATATTCAATGTTTACGTGACAACAACTTGGATAGACCACGACGCCCGGTTCCCTGCTCTGAAATTAGAATAGATAAATCTCACCCAAACATTCACAAGTTCCTGAAGCAAATCAAGATGGTTGAGGTGGCAGACAGGGCAAAGAACCTGGATCATGGAGCCACATCTAGTCCTAGACTAAGTGCATTTGGACCAGTGCATCATGAGACTCGAGGATCACCTCCACTGTGGAAGGAAAATCCCACTTCGGTTCCCCAATGCTGCTGGTCTCCAAACCCATGAATACACAACCAATAATAGACGCTGTCATGTTTTAAGACTGTTGGCGAAATTGAATGTAGGCCGATAGAGAACTCACCACGTGGAGGGTTCAGCTACTTATTGGGGTGAGGGTCTATTAATAGCTGTACCATGAGAATTGAACTGTACATGAGTGTACGCTTGTGTATACGCTTGTGTATAAGATGGCCGTAGCAGATATTCACCAGAAGAGGCTAAAGGTGAGGTCTCATCCCATTTATTTGATGCCTTAAAATCACAAAGGCCATGGTAGAGTTCTCCAACATTGCGTGTTACCCAAGTGGTTTAGTCAAAATAATACCCTCTTGAGAATATTATAAATAAATGGAGTTTCATGGTGTTTTGTGGGCATTAATAGCCACATAAATAATTCAACAAGGGGTAATGTATTGCTACATTATTGGTACTTCATTCTGCCCTTTGGTGTCAATCCAGTTTCTCTAGTGAACACATAATCACATTATTGTGTCTTTCTGCAGAAAATGGCACAATGTTGTTACTGACTAAATCATGCTATTCTCGTTTTTTATAAAAACAATTTTCATTCCGGTGTTTTAAAGATTAACCATAGAATATAATAACACAAAAACCTTTTTTTTCAATGTTGATTCTGCTGCTCATTTTGGATGTTATAGGTTCAAAGTTCGTTTTGCTAAATTTAATATATTATGCATAACATATGTACATTACACAAATTGTGATATATTCACCTTTGAGTGCCCATTGATATTGATTACATTTATTAGCAAACGGTGAATAACCAGACCTCAGCTTTCGACAGAACCAATTCCGAGATTATTTCTAAATGATTCAGATTTGTGGTAATGACAGTTGATACTGATTTCTTATGTTCTTCACATTTTTTCATAACTTAATATCGTCCAAACTTCGATGCTGCGCTGCTGTACATCATAAGAACATGCGTTAAATATACCACTTAACGTTTGATAAGGATCACCACTTTGAAAGGTAATACGTCAAGTTGTGTGCATCTGTTGAAATAGCAAAAGACAAAATTGCGTGAAGACCTATTTATAACATGAACAAAGTCCGTTGTCATGTGCCACACAATGCAAACAAACAGTTGATCAATAATCAGTCAGGTCACCCGTCAAAATGAGTCTGACGGAAACGTCAAAAATGTCACGAAAACCAAATTCATTGTCCGGGAGACCCTATAATATTTTGGTCACTGACCACAACTTTCTGTAGTGTGTATGTGATCCATGTGTTTGACATAACAGCCTGGCATCGTCATCTCATCTTCATAAGTTGCCAAGGGAGAATTGTCCCACTCTTCAGTAAGAGTGTTAACGAGTTGTGTAGAGTTGCCGAAAGGAAGGGCGATCTACAGTTCGTTCCACTTGTGTTCGATAGGGTTGAGGTCTCCTGCACAAAGTAGACATCAATTACCCTGCTCCTAACAGGGAGGGCGTTATCGTTCATGAGGATGAAGTCCGGTCCGATTGCAGCAGCATACGGTCTCGTATATACACAGTAAAAAAAGTGTTGCACCCCCTATACTTTTTCATGGAGGGGTGTTTTGAAAGGGTGTAAAGATAACCGAATTAATATTATAACCAGGATTTCGTGTTTACCAACAAACCAGTGTATTGTCTATACAATGAACTTAAATGGGGTATTCCATGACCTTATGGCATGTAATAATCTCATGCTGAACTTTTACGAAAAATGAACGAACAACGAAGACGCATTAAGTATGGTGACATCTCAATAATTTTTAGTGACCAAATTCATCCAATAGGGTAAGAATGTCATATGGAGATTTGACGAACACAGTAAGTCAATATCGAGAACTTCCACCAAGCACTTGGATCACAGCTTGAAGTCTTCGTCTCATACTCCTCACCAGACGTTGGAATCGCTCCATGGGCAGCTGCTGCCACTCCTCGTGTAATGCTGCTTCCAATTCACGCAAGTTCTGTGGAGGAGGGTCCCGACGATAAATCAAGCGTCCCAAAATGTCCCATACATGTTCCAGAGGATTCAGATCTGGACTCATTGCTGGCCATGGAATCTGCGTCAGAGCATTGTTGTGGATAACCTGAGTCACAGCTCGTGAACGATGTGGTGTGGCATTGTCATCCATGAATATCGGTCTGGTGGCCAGTGGATGATTGTCAAAATGGGGCACCACAACTGGATTCAGCACCTCTTGGATGTAGCGCTCCCCTGTCAAGTTGCCTCGTATGGTAACTAAATCAAGCTTACAATCAAATGAGAAGCATCCCCAGACCATAACAGATCCACCTCCATATGGTACAGTTGGCATGATGTTTCTTGCAGTATAAGCTTTTCCAGGACGCCTCCATACTCTCACTCTGCCATCCACAACATGCAGAAGGAACCTGCTTTCGTCCGACCAGTGGACTCTTCTCCAGGACCTCAAGTTCCAGTTCTGTCTCAGTCTACACCAGGCTAGACGTAGTCGTTTGTGGTTGTCTGTGAGTTTAGGTCGCTTGATAACCCTTCTGGACTTCAACCCTGCAGCTTTAAGACGATTTCTCACGGTCTGGGTACTGAACTGTTGACGAGGAAGCCAAAGACGTTTCAAGGTTGTGCTTGTAGCAAATGGATGACGCCTTACCACCCTCAACAACGCTCTGTCATCTCTAACTGTGGTCTTACGTGGTCTGCCAGAGGGTCTGCGATTCCTTACATCATTAGTTTGTGCGTGTTTTCTGACCAAACGGCTTATTGTTGAGTAGTGATGTCCGGTTCTTCTGCCAATCTCCTTGAACGAAAGACCTGCTCCATGAAGGCCAATAATCTGCCACTTGACTGATTCTGACAATCGTCTACCCGGCATTGTGGGTTACAATAAACTGGGCTGTCAGAGAACATCTTTTATAGGCGATGTTGAGCTTAAGAAGATACTGCAATCTGCAAATGTCATGCACCATGCAATTCACGTGCTGATTGCTACGTTTTGGTGATCATCTTCCCTCCGAAAACATTACACATTTAACATCAGATCCCCAAGGAATACCTACCATTAAAACCAGAGTCGGGCGTTTTAAATGTTGTGATGTATCAAACGTATTAATGTGGGGGTGCAACACTTTTTTTACTGTGTATACATCCAGAATGTCATCCCTGTGATGCACACCTGTCATCGTGCCCTGCTGTAAGACATGGAGATCTGTGTTCTTCCAGCTCTACTGATCCCACCTAAATCATGATTGATCCCCTCTATAGCGGTCATGTTCGGCTACGTTGGAATCCTGACGTTCAGACGCTATCTCGATTAATCCGTGAAAATTATTAGAGCGAAGTTCTGGTCTGGCCAATTGGCGTGATCTTCAGCCCAATCCAAACGTGCCTGGTGCCTGATAATATGCAACAGTTCTGTTAGTATCCAAAGACAGGTTTTCACGTATTTCGTGCACATCGTGCGCAATACTGCATGCCTCTGTCATCATGAAATTAAGGTAGTATATGGGTTACTCAATCATTGTGTACCAGGATATTTCAATCTTTATGTGTTGGGTGATGTTTTGATATTACCAAAAGTTGATCCTTTGCAAACTTTGAGTGGTATATGAGTTTATGGATATAAAATAATACAGCCTCACGCGTCACTCATGCATTAATAATACACATTGGAGAATTGATCCTCTATTTCTCTGTATTTGGAACGCCTGTTCTCGGTTATTTCATCAACATCGAGGGGAACGGTGACAACATAAACATTTCCATTCCCTATAAGTAACGTCGGATGTTAGTAATAAGTGTTTTGCCTGGTACACTAAAGGTCCACTATCAATCAACGCCAGGTGTAATCTCCGTATCTATAGCATCGTATCTTGTATCGCAATACACATTCGTCGGATGAAGAAAGTTGTCGCCAATGTTGTATACGACAGAAGATAAGTATTGATTATACTCTTATCAATACTGAAATGAGACCCGTGAAGATCCGGGGTAGAATAGGTCTTAATCAACACATGCTTGCTGAACAGAAGGAAACAGTTGTTCTTGGTTGGGTTGGTATAGCTCGTCCAAATACACTCGACTAATGTGGAAGTGCTCGCCCAAACACACCCGTTGCGCATGTTCTTTTTTGGGGGGTAAATCTCGT